GTTACACTAACTATTGGTGTTTCCACAGTGATCAGTCTTTGCAAATTTGTTCTCTTAAGTATATTTCCTGCGTATTAAAGTTATTATTCGTTAGACATCTGGAAAACAATATACATTAACTTTTACGTTCAACGATCAGTGAATTAGGTTATTGTTAGAACTTTATTGTAGGTGATTCTCCAACTATCAAAGGATAAAATGATTATAATTCAATATGAAAAAATATTAAAAAAGGAAAAACTTAATGTTCATGCTTGTTGTCGTTTGAAAACGCCCTAGCTACTATAATACTACTGTATATGTTTTTAAGCGAGAGCCTTGCGTTTATTCCTACATATAGACATTACAAAATTTGTTGTACAAGTTCAATAACTATACTTTATTTATATGCGCTTATGTTCAAATCTCATGACAGGCCAATATGCATATCAGCTGATTTATAGGATCAGCTGATTTACAGGATCAGCTGTTCCCTCCTCCGCTCATTTAGAGGTTATGTTTCCCTACAATCTTAAACGCATTAGTTGACCAAATAACTCGATAGGTCGATGTTTGTAAAATCGTTAGGTAATCCCGTGAGTTGAGCCCAACCCTTTTGAATGATCACCCCCCTCCCCCTCCCCCTGCATCATCCATCCTCGTCGTCCGCTGAGATATTTTCGTCCGCCTTTGGCCGAGCTGGCCTAGCCAGGGATTTGCCGCTTGCCGACCACTTCTTGTCCCTTCAGGGAGGGCTTTAAACCTCTCTCTGAATTTATCATAGTTTTCATCCTGGTGAAGCTTATCGGAGGGTTTTCAGTAAAATAAAGCCTGAAAACCCCTCGGTAATTTATAGTAAAAAACTTAAATGGAATGAATTACAAAAGTTATAGAACAACAAAATACCATAAGCCCACAGGAATGACGCATCATCTTTTCAAAGTAAATGTATAATTTAATATCACAATTGAATAAATAATGCAAGTGTTACTCGTAAGTGTTGTGAATGTGTACAAATGTTCGATATGTGATTTGACAAATTATTCAAATTCTTTTTAAGACCTTTGTAAAATTATGACGTGTATTATTGTCTTAGGATATTATAGAGGAAATGTACTATCTAAGGAAAATAATTTTCAAAAATTGTAAAATTTATTTTTTATACATATGCTACTTAGGTATATGTTAGAAAAAAACAAATTATACTAAGTGTCTTCACGTTGTATCTATAATCAAACATCTTACTGATATAAAAAATTCTGCCTTAACTCGTTTTTACCTAAAATGTAATTATTTGCAAATATTTTACAACTTTATAGGGAAATCTTTAACATTCAATTTCAGACATATGATCACGAAGATTATGATCCTTAATATCAACAAGCTAATAACTGTTCTTCAAAATCCTTTAAAAATGTCATAGTAATCTTTCATTAGTATTTAACGTTGGAAAACATACTGGTACAGATGAAATATTACTTAATATAATGAAAATAGAACATCCATATCTACGGACATAGAATTTTTGTCGCTCTGATTATGAACTCATGAATAAATAATTACAGGGTTTCTATCAGATTTCCACTCTCTTAACGTGCAATAATTAAACGCACCACTATGTCTGGTATGCGACGAGGCAACAAAAGTGTATTTTAAGCGTGGGTGAGGGATGATGTAGAAATACCTCCCCTACAAGGGGGCCGCGACTGACACCCCTGACTACAAATATACGATGCCAAGCTCCTTCTACCCCTGCCTTCTAACCACTCACTGTAACACATGATTCACCATTTGAACGTTCATACGTTACTTTATTACTTTATTATGTTACTTGAAATGAAAATGTTTAAATTTTTATTTTGAAGTTACATTTTCAATCGATAATATAATAAGATTATAAATAAAATGGTTTTAAGGAGTACTTACGTATAATCTGGTAAATTTTTTAAATAGTGTTCGTAGATTGTGGATAAATTTATATAATTTTTTTCTTACAGTACAATTGGACCGCTTGATGTAGTTTTATGGGGTTCCGAAAGAGTTTAGGTTTTGATACCTGCACTATGTTTCCTTAAACGTACATTTTTGTTGGGGATATTTTTCATTCCATCGATTTGAACCTTACTGATTCAAAGCTCTTTAGCTGCGATCTGCTTTGGCTAATCCATGTGATTTATACTGTAATGGCATATTTCTGACACAGATCACTTAATAATTCATAAGGTTTATTGGTAATGGCAGTTGGCAAATTTATGGTAGTGTAGGTGATACCAAGTACAAAATATAATAATAGAACATAATCCTCGTAGGTCTTCGTATGTAATTTTGAATACTTCTCCCGGAATTACGTATACATTGTACAAAAGACGCAATATATGTTTTTTAAATCGTTAAAAATTAAGATAATAACCTCTATTTTCGTATAAAATGTAGTTGAACTCATATTAATACTATCAAAATATGTAGTAGAATAAATTTCATTTAAATAACTGATCAAAATAGTATGCTAGACTATACTTAACAGGTTCAGTCCCAGCCGTCACACTCCTCTTTATGTTTGGTTTCTCTCCACACGGGAGTGAGTGTGTTAAACAATTTAAAAAGGTTAGTAGGTATAAATAAGCAAAAATTAAAATTATTTCGTTTCAACTCACAATTGAAACTACAATGAGACTATTTCATTTGTGTAATTGCAAAAAGCGAGAAAACCCACAAAGAAGGAAAGGAGGGAGATAAATTCAGAGAGAGGTTTAAAGCCCTCCCTGAAGGGACAAGAAGTGGTCGGCAAGCGGCAAATCCCTGGCTAGGCCAGCTCGGCCAAAGGCGGACGAAAATATCTCAGCGGACGACGAGGATGGATGATGCAGGGGGAGGGGGAGGGGGGTGATCATTCAAAAGGGTTGGGCTCAACTCCCGGGATTACCTAACGATTTTACAAACATCGACCTATCGAGTTATTTGGTCAACTAATGCGTTTACGATTGTAGGAAAACATAACCTCTAAATGAGCAGAGAAGGGAACAACTGATCCTCTAAATCAGCTGATCCTAGAAATCAGCTGATATGCATATTGGGATTTGAGTCTGTTGTGGGGTGTTTTCTCGGTGAAAATTCTTTAAGTCTTTTTTTGTATTGCAATATTAGGTTGTGTTATTAGGTTGAATGATATGTGTGTTTGTCAATTTACGTAGGAGGAATACTCAATGTCAATAACCAAACGAGGATAAAAAATATATTAACTTAACCTAAATATTGCCTCAAATTTAGGACAAATTCATATTTTTTATATCGTGCTATATTTAATCGAAACATGAACACTTTAATACACATTTATTTTCAACCACTCTATATTAACCGACCTTATTATTGATAACCATCCTATCAACCTTTAATTATTCTTGATACACCATTGAATACAGCTAAAACATACAGAAACTAGAGTGTTTCATGTATACTTTTATGCACCGGTTTATTCGATTAAACTGAAAGTAGAAGTGGCACCTTTTATACTTTTGATTTTTGGGACGAAGATTGGAAATTTATCTGTGTGCTAAACTGATTTAAACTAGTGTATTCTATACCGAACTTGTGTTGTATAACCCATAACCAGATTACTGCCCTAATATTGAGTTAATCCCGTGATTATACAAAAAAAAAACATAACAGTTTATTTTACAGCCTTATTCCATTTGACGAAATTTTCCTACATCTTCAGTGCAAATCTTTCATCATCTAAAAATCCTAACAATACATCTTTGAGTCTAGACAAATGCGAGAAAACCTTGTTTGTCAACAAATCATAGAACCACATCAAGTATATTTCGTTTACAGCTCTCTCGAGACTTTTCAAACAATGTGAACGATAACGCTTACATAATACTCGGGTTCCTTGCGGGAAATAGTGAAGAGACCCACAAGAAAGGCAGCGGTAGCTTAGATGGGGGTGGCGCGACGCGGGTTGGAATTAGTGCGTGTGGGGTTCTCTGGGTAGGCGGGGGAGCAGAGCGGGGTTGTCAAAGAGATACACCCGGGGAGCACCAACATTGTCCCGTACCTCGCATTCATCTGCTGCCAAGCCCTGTAATATGTAGACGAGCCCAGCAGGGTCCGACGTGAAATAACCACAGTAATGAAATTTCGTCACAACGTTTGAGGATGGAATTTTAAAGTATTAGACAGTTTATTTATTGTATTTGGTATTGTCCCACTCAATAAATTAGTTAACCAAATTCAAAGAGGAATGCCCGTAAAGAATTACTCTTACTCATTGAGAACGTAGATATGTTTTATCATGATTTGATCCGTAAAACTATACAGACAACTGATTATATTTAATAATTATTAACGTCAATTTGAACATCCTAACACAGAATAAAGGGTAGAGAATCACGAAAATAAGAGTGTCTAACCTTAAAATGTGACATACACCCGCACATAACTCGTCACATTCAAGCATATTCATATTCAAACAAACGTTCCAGATGTATAGAACAACTAACTCGTCAAGCACGTCAATATGCTCATGCTAATTATTAATCAATAATTTTAACTCCCGTAAAGTGGCCTTTACTGAAAACTTTACCATCAAATCTGAAAGAGCCTTTAGAGATCGTACAATTTTTACATCTTACCTATAACATGCATAATTTACAAACGTCCTAAATTGGCACTTTCTTACCAAGCCTAGACACAAAAATTGAACATTGAAGCCTTTACTCATGGGGTAAATTTTTACACCCCAATTCAATGATGGAAAATGTTGCCCCGTAAAATCTTTACATGCATAATTCTACATTTCAAATAGTTTTCCAAAAACTCCGACCTGGGGCCACAACTCTGTCAATTGGCGTAGGGAGCGGCCGTGCGGGTGCGGGTTGGAGCGCCGGAGTTTTTGACGGCTATTGTTGATTATCACCGCTCCCACACGTTATCGGTGCCTCCCTCCCCCCCGCGCCCCCTGCGGCCCACCACCTCCGCCCAGCGCCGGTAGTGACAGTAGTCACTAGTCAGTACACTCCAGACGTCGGACCCGCTCGCTCCGTCGTGACGTCACTAGTGTGGTGAGGACCATGGGTCTAGGTCTAGGGTAGGACGTCATCGCACCTTCCGACCATGTCCGCCAAGAGGAAACTGGGCGCCATGCCGATCAAAGTTAGTGTCAGTGTCGCATGTTAGTGTTGTGATAAGGGTTATTGATAAAGGTTATCAGTGATTCATTGTTTGGTAGACGTCTGTAGAAATTAGTAAGTTAGAACTTTAGTAAATCTTAAAACAATAAACTATATTTGCATAACTAGAAAATTAAATACAGTTTTGAATTTGCAAACAATTTTATAAAAGTAAATTATACTGTATTAAAAGTTCATGATTTCGAAGAATAATTTTAATATTTAAAGTTAAACTTAAGGAATTTTCTCATTCTTAAGTGTTTCAACATTTTCGAAGGCTTCGGACTGATAAATGTAGTTGTGTTTTGTTTTGGTTTCCAATATTTTTTTTCTGTCACAATTTTGTATTGTGGTGTATATTGTTTAAGGTTATGTAATATCTATGTTTATGTGCATAGGCAATGGTTTGCACCAGATGCGTTAGGCTGGAAAGGCAAATTAAAATGTTACTTGAAAACGGGACGAGTTTTAAGGGTTATGCTAGGTTAGATAGGCGAATCAGTAAACGGTTACTTAAAAAGGGAGGAGTTTTAAGGGTTACGCCGCTTAGGTTAGGTTGGATTGACGAATTATGCGAATTAAACTTGAAAACGAGAAGAGTTTCTTGCATTCTGAAACGTCGTGTTGAAACACTAACTAATAGGAAATACAGGTTACAATCAAATTATATTTTTCATTATCCCTGTACCCACAGCCTTAATTTTCTGTTTAATAAAACGTAAGTAGGCTACTTAAGTACTATAAATTCAAAAAATACGCCAGAAAGTTGCACATGTTCTATACTGTGTTTTGACTCTGATGCAAGAGGGGTGTTAATTGAAAGTTGCCTTTTTATACATTATTGCTGATACATTATACATTACTTGTTGCAATACCCTAACTATTTGTTTTTTTCGTGGTAAATTTATTCGATTTAACTTGCTTAGGCTATTGTTTTTTTAATTAAACAAATAGTACGATTTCGATTTCCAAACTCTTCTACCTGGTAGCAACTGATTCTCATGCTAAACAAATCTAAGAAACTGCAAAAGATTCCAAATTAATGATTAGTTATCTAATTAGGACCCCAAAGGTTACTGATAAGGTAAACTCCGTATATGATGTTAATCAGTTGAATTAATCATTCCTTATCGTCAAAACTTACACGCTTCAACGATATCCTTACAGTTATCATAATTACAATTTGATAAAATTTGGAGGTGAATCATACGTACGAGATAATTAACTTTGATTATAAATACAATATTATAAATATATACTTAGTATACTTTGATTATAAATCAGTGGTTAGAAAAAAATGGTGTTTGCAATTTTTTACGAGTAAATCAACCTACAAAACGTGAATGAATTAACCTTTAATGAAAGTGGCATTTCGCCCATTTTTAAAGAACTAGTTCATAAAAGCGACGTAGAGAGTCAGTGATGGGTGAAAAGTCGATTTCCACAATTTCCACGTCACCCTTTTCACAGTTAGTGGTTAGTACTTCATGCGGGTATTTTGCGATAATCGGGAAAGCGAACTTGTCCACTATGTCCACTTATGCTGGTTATTTTACCCCGGAGTTGTGTAACTGTGCAGTTTATTTACAACAAAAAACTGTAAAACATACAAACTTGGTATACAAATAAACCATAAATCGTTCGACCAAATAAAGTTTCATGTATATAAATCGCTATTTTGAAGAGAGAAACCGAAAAATAAAATAAGGATTCGTATTCATGGCGATTTGAGAGTTATGATTGGGGCGTGTAATACGACGTGCTAAACACGAAAACGTCAATTATAATGAATCACAATACACTACCAAATTGTTTTACATTATTAAACAATGTCGCAATCTTTTGGTGCATTTATATCCTAGTGACTGAAATGAAAGGGTTAATGATTGGACAAAAAACCAGGAAAGCGTGTAAACGTCATCAATTTCCGAAGACAACCTTTTTAAAAATTGCTGAGTACGATAGAGAAATTGCTTCTAAATAAAGTGATCAGAAACGGGTATGAGTGAAAATTCCAATATTTTGTAGAGACCTGAGTTAGTTCTAAAATATTCGATTAGGAGTGCGATAAATTCGATGAGTCCACTGCAATTCTGATGATACAACCGGTAACCGGCTGAGTGATTAATTTCTAGTCTAAATCTATTCAATACTACGGCAGACCGACAGTGGTACAGAGTTTAATAAATAAGATTTTAGGCCGGGGTATTATCTGTTACATCGGAAAATTTGCTCATGGGGTTTACGGTGAGTGTAACATATTTAAGATTAAATCCAAAACCTTTTAAAATAAATCTGGGACGGATAACAGTTAAATTTCAATTACTTTAGTTTTTAATAAGATAAACCTTCGTTATTTATCAGCAACAGCTTATAAATATAATACAAGTGTTTTCTTAAATAAAATAATAGTTTTTGTGTGGGTACCTGCTACCATTTACTATGTATTAATATTCAAAGATGCTATATACTAGATCTGTGGTTTATTTAAGGAAAAATTATATTATCTTGTCCCTGTACGAAAGTTAAATCTCCAATTCCAATAAGGTTTTGTGATATTATGTCTGATTATGCTAGCATAATTTGGCTTTGGCAAGAGCCCCCATGAAATTAAAAATTCATCAAGTATGGGTGATGTTTGTATTTTAAATTTCATACTCCAATAAGGTGTTTACACTTTAAATTGAAACTTCCCCTGTGATTTTCTCCTTGAATGTGATTTTATATTGGGCTTATCATTTGCAAATAAAGATTATCTACTTGAATTTACCTTGTTTTCATTTTCAAAATATTTGCAATGCTCGTGGTGAGTCACACATGTAATGTGTTTAAAATAACTAGACAGGAAAATGTATTGTTTTTATTTACTTAGATTGTGGTAGCCTTAAATACGTATATACGTACTACAGTAGTTATTCACAGTAAAATATCCTACTAAACGGTCGTGAGACCGATTTTAGCTCTGTTAAAAAATGTTCGCATTATCCTAAATTTCTCAACTTCTCGGGTATATTGTGGTGCTGCGTGGTAATTTCTAAATAATCAGTTACTCAAATTTACCTCGTTTAACGCATGGCCGTTCCAAAAGCGGGAACAACCAACGTTTGTGTTTTTCACCGCCTTCTTTGTCGCGTGTTTGCCCAAGGTTCACAGGAAACCCTGTGTGTTTTACATTAGTATGGACGGGTGAGCAGTGGGTAAAAACACCGCCACTCTTGACCCCGATCACACACAGCCCCTCTGTCTGTCTGTCTGTCTGTGAGGCTGCACCGCCGCGTACATCCGTGGGTGACGAAGAAAAGATCGGTGGTATCAAAATTCAAAAGTAATCAGCCTTTCACAAATGTTAGTTCTGACCATATCGAAAATACAAATTAGATACTTCAGAGTTGTTGTACGCTAAGTGTGTGATTTTATTTAACATAAAGATTAACGTTGACAATAGAATCGAAATCATCTGGAAAAGGACTTAAAAATCACCTGGGTGCTGGATATAGCTTTAGGATGGTTCAAAACTTGACACAGCTATTTTTGTTCATTACGCCATTACTGTAACTAAATACATACATTAGACATTCGAAATCGCCCAAAGAAGGTATCAGAAGTACAATTAGAAGGCTACCGTGTAATGCTAGAAATAACACTACATTTTAAGTAGCTGAAACTAGACAAAGCATAGTTGTACTTGAAAATCGGCTTTGTTATAAGTATTTCAACTATAAATAATCAGAATGTTAGTAAAATTGTTCATTCTAAACTAATCCGTTCTTCCATATGAAACAACACACTGTCGTGATTGGTATTGTACGGTATTGATAGAGATTACTATGGATATATAAATCAGGCAATGGCCTAATTTATTCATTAGGAGAATGGCAAAAGAGGTTTGTCTTTTAATCCATCTGTACACTTCGCAATGATAGTACTTAATTAGCTGCTGGACACAGGCTTTACAATTAAAATGTTGAAACGCTTATTCTTAATACATCGTGTCCTGCAAAATAAATAACGAGATTTTTGAATCGTTGAATTTAGAAAGATTCAATATATATGAGGAAATTGAGTTTGTATAGTATATACGTCTTAACAAAATTGATAAATGCCTCTTGACTTACAAAAGTGTGAAGGGGGTATCTATATATTAATTTGAAACTGTTTTTCTTTGTCACAGCTATTTTGAGAGAACGGCTGGGCGTAGAAACTCGGTAGAGGTGTCTAAAGAAAGGTCTTGGTCTGTAGATGAGCCATCAAAAGAGAAACATGGTGAATTCCCTTGGGGCTCTGCCCCAGTGGCCTTTAAATTCCCATCCCATGTTATTCTTATGGAGGAAAACGGTGTTTTAGTCACAGCTAATTTGAGAGAACGGCTGGGCGTAGAAACTTGGTAGGGGTCTCTAAAGAAAGGTCTTGGTCTGTAGATGAGCCATCAAAAGAGGAAAGAGGTAAATTCCCTTGGGGCTCTGCCCCAGAAGCCTTTAAAGTTGCCACTTCAGATTTGTTTACATTACGACTATATGCATAATTCTACACTACTTTTTAATGCAACAGCTGTTAATATTTAAATTGCCATAATGAAGTACAGTATTTGCAATGTAATGGGTTTTTCTGATTTTAAAATCGATTTTATTCTGCATCGTGTCATGTTTTGCAATATAATGTTCTATTACCAAATCAGTGGAAAATCCTAATATCACAGTAACTCTTAAAATTATTTCTTATGGAGTTAACTTATATCTATTGTATGGGTTGGTTTCTGCCTTTTTTTACCACTTCTTGGAGATTGTAAGTAGGTGATATTCTTTGGCGTATTGCATCTGTAGACGAAACTTGGGTTGGTGAAATTATTACAATGGAAAAAGCGAGAAATCCTGGACAATTTGATATAGGCTAAAAATAAAACTGAATTAACAATATGCTACATTTCTTGAGCAATCATTGAACTAACCGATTTGCAAACAATGAAAACATAGAAAAAGTCATAGAACACAACCAAGTAGAAGAAAAGAAATAATGTTTTTTTTTCATTTATAATCGTTATTATAGACTACCTAATGCGGCTATGAGAGGGAAAAATTTGTATAAACACTAAAAACAAGATCAGCTTTTTGAGAAAAGACAAGATATTTACAAAAGATTTTGATTATATCTAACTGTTGTGTAGATCGTGAGTATTTCCATAATCTTCGTGAGTCGCCTGTAATGCTTCGCAATTGCTCGAATTCGAGCAACAGGTACACTAGTAAAACGTATTTTAATTGCAAGGAAACACACAAACCCACGTAGCGTACTAACTGGATATAAAGTAATTTATATTTTGCTTACACCTAATACGTAGATTTTAAGCATAATTATTTTAGTGTTTTAAGTTTTGTTTGATTTTCCAATGGTATTATTTAATTGTAAAGTGACATTTTTCAAGTGTTTGACGCTAAGATCGTGATTTCCAGGTTTCCGCTGAAGTATGTGGGTCTTCTCAATCTTGTATGTATGTTAAGTGTGTACTTTTACTAACAACTGGCTAAAGTTTGTAATAACATGTTTGTTTTGTGTTGTTAAATAGATGTGGCGTTAACCATCAAGCGATTTAAAGTAACTGAAGCATATAAAATTGAAGTTTAAGTGATCCTAAATTGAAGTACCTTGGACAGATTTTTTAATGTTTGTTGGATAGTAATAAGTTGAAACATTTACTTGTATAAGGTCTCAAGGTACGAAGAGAGATATGAAATAATGTCCAACAAATATTTCACTTATATTAATTTATAGGTTTCCTATAACTATATCAACTGTTTTAAAATGTATTGTTGTCAATAAAATTATTCACCACCAATATATAGGCTACATATTTCAAACTCAATTTCAATTCATTTATAGTTGCTCTCTACTAAGAAAATAAATGATGAATAAACATAATAGTAGTCCTACTAAAACATATTAATTAACATTTTACCAAAGTGTTAATTTAAATGCAAACAAGTCAAAACAATATTGATAGAAATTTATTAAAAATAATTTATCACTAAATAACTTTACAAAAAAAGTGCTGATTAAACATTGTAAGTACTAAATTATGATTTATTCGTTTCAAATACTGCCTCAAAAGTTTTCAAATTTAATATAGTCGTTCGGTGGACTAAGACAATTAAATTATTCTCTACTTGTTGCTTGTGGGAGGACAATAAACTCCCCCCCCCCCTCCCCACAAAGTGTCGACAAAAGTTGTTCGGGTCTTGTCACTAGTTATATTTGGAAAATTATACCGTCCCGCTAACCTGAAACTTTTTCACTCAGTTAATTTGTTGGACGTAGACTTGATTATAGTTTTTTCCTAAGACGTCATGCTTAAGGACTGTTGATAAAGTTAATTTTCTAATCTGTGTAATTTTCTTCGGTAATTTTCTTTGACAAACAAAATTCGATTTTTTTTCTATTGATATTAATGCTTGTTTAAATATTTTTTGTTTGGATTCAACCTTGTTCTTATGAAATATAAATACTAATCTAGATTATTCTTTATTTCTTAAGAATTTCATATATTCACAAATAATTCCATACTCTAAAGCTATATGTGGTACATTTGAGTAAATCGTCTATATTTTCTGTATTTTTTCTATACGTCTAATACGTTTTGTTTGTCACTGGAATGATCGCAGCCTCTTCAGGACTAGGTGGCATTGCGAATTCGTAAAACTATGTTTTGTCTTACAGTCTTTTTCCTTGAGGTATTTTTGTACTACAACACAATTAATATTAATTTCATAAGTTCTGTTAATTAAAAACATCAATATAATTGCTGGGTTAAGCTGAGTAGTTTCCTGGTTTCCTCTTACAATCAAAAGATCACTAGAGAGATTCTGAGAAAAGTAAATAGCTTTTATGTGGTGTAATAGCTATTTACCTGACCCGACAATATACAGGAGGTTACGAACCATATTTTTCATTATCCATTTCACTCATCTTCTAACAGTAACGGTAATTTACAAACAAAAGCTAGGTTAGGAAAATTCTTCAAAACATAACAATAAAATTCAAGCGCACAGCTGATTTCTAGCGTTGAACGTCGTTGGCTCCATAGAGGTATATTTATGTTATTTAAATGGGTTTCATTACCTCACCGAGTGAGTTTTATTCAACTTTACATCACTCGAGAAGTAAAGAAGTTGTATACATCGCGCTTGGGATAGGGAAGTTTATGGCGGGTTAGGTAAAACTACTGAACTTAGCTGTCGGGTATGGTGAGGCTTTAGTATTATAATTCTGGATGAATAATCAGCTGATCTTATTCAGTAACAAAACTATGCATTCTACAGTACTTCTTTTTTCACAATAATTGCCTTTCCTCATATTTATATTGAAATCACGGATACTAGAACAGAAACTGTACGAATCATAAACATAAAATTACGTCACTGGTTAGAATCTTAATAACCTTAACAGCTTGTTTTGGATGTTTTTTGACAGTTTGGTCAAAACAATACAAACATGTTTACTTTTGGGCCATTGACGTCATTTGTTTATTATGTTTATGATCCATACTGTTATAGTTCTAATATCCATGATTGATTTACGCCCATTTGCACCCCCTAACTCAATAACTTGTGTTGTACTAGTGATATTTTAGCTTTTATTTTCCCCTGGTACGACATAATATGAAAATCTACCTGTATACGACGATGTATGGCGGTTCATGGTTATTTATGGTTAACTACGGTTGCTTCGGCGAATATAGAAGTAATTAATAAAGCTGTTATTTTTTTATGATTCCACAGCATAATTTGAATATCTAAGCCATAGCACATAGTTGACGGTGTGTTATGATTGTTCATGGTTGCCATGGTGATCTATGGTTGTTCACGGTGATGTACAGTCGCTACAGATGCTGTGGCCGCCGTTTTTGGCACTGATTACCACGACCGCGAGCATTGATTATGTATACTACAGTGTCCGCGCATGCTCGCGATGGCGTTGGCAATAAAATACTGAATTTGTCGCTAATTTATGACGTGCAATCATAGACAGAGGTGACCCGTGTCCGCCCCCCTCCCCTCACCCCCTTCAGTGTCCGGGTCTTCCTAGTTCAATAAAACACGGCCGAACATGGCTGCCTGTAAAGTCAACATTATTTATGCGCTCCGGTTGTGAACCGTGTAAAAATGACGCGTGCATAATGAGCTGTCCACTTTAAAAATTGGAGTTCAAACGTTAAGTGTATGTTTGACAATTAAGTTTGTTACAGTGTTGTAAAATACATTGTGAAAGTTTAAAAGTTGGTGAATCGTAAAAGAACATACATTTGTTTAAGCAATACTGTGTTGAAATAAATAGTGAAATCGTTAGACTTGAAATATAACAATTGATGAAGTTCGGCAGTAAACTGGGTCATTGGGTCAAACAATTTTGTATAAAACAATGAGTTTTGTATGTAAAAAGTGAACATAGTAACGATAGTAACGAATCACAGTTGTGACAATTATGGCAAAAATGTCGTTTAAGGGTGATTAATTACTCACTTTTACTAAAATGGGTTGGATACATGTTAAGCTTATAATCGTATTACTGAGAAAAGAATCTTATTACTCGACTACTCGTGCGCTCAACTGTGGCGGTATTCGTTGTAATATCATTTTTGAGGGCTTTAATGAGAATCCAGTTAGTTGTAGTGCTTTTAATTCCAGGGTGTTGTTGTTAGTCCATTAATGTGTTTATTACAATTTCACTGACGCAAACTCTTGAATTACCTACATTTTTTGGCAAAACATTAATACCAACGTTTATATTTCAAACTTTACTAGTATCTCAAAGCTATATATCCCATCCTCTCAAAATACAAAACCAATGGTACAAACTTGCAAGTTCCCAGTCCCAGGTCTTGTCGCACGGCAGGTCCCGCGGTTTTTGTCAGCTGTTAATTGCAGCCTGCAACCAGCTGACCTTAGCCTACTGCCTCCTAGATTGTGTAATAGCAGTCCTCTCCTCTCCTCCCGCGTCATCACCTGGTCATACCACACCGCCTCTTGGATCGCGGAGGCCGTGGACGAGTGTCTTCATGACCACATAAATCGCATAGTTTTCACAACGTTTTCCAAAGCAACGAGTTGGTGGGAAAACTTTTTTTAATTTTTTAGCAATTTTTCACAAGAATTACACATAGCACCTAATTGTCATAGCAAGTTATCATAGTTTTGGATATAACTCCAATTATCAATGATACGAAGCATTTTGGATAGTTACATTACAGCATTTTTTGTAATGTTTAAACCAGTTGATTTGTTTCGATTATGAATCAAGATGTTAAAAGAGAAACAGCGTACAAATGTTCAGTTATTTACTTGTTCTGTAAACTTTTGTTAGCTGATGGTTTAAATCACATAATTGATTTTACAAGTTAACTTATACATCTATTTAATCAAACTCAAAAGCATTTATAATGATAACTAGTACAAGTTAGTCTTTTAGATTTCCAGTTATCAATAGCTATCCTTTCCAATAGTAGCACCTGGCTGTGCTTTAACTGCTTTGTCAACCACTAGTTATAAAGTTTTAATTTGCATCCCGGTTTAGAAACTTCATTTCATTTGTTGAAATTGTTAATTGAGCGTCTATTCTATCTTTGTAGCTACAAAATCAATCACCGCACATTTCTGTTGAATATAAACTATCTAATTATGTAAAAGCCAACCGATAGTGTAGATGGTTCAAGATCCAAAGAAACGTTCATAACAGGTGTTAATTTAACTTTAAAAGTCTAAAATAGAACTTAAGTTTCTCTTTGAAAGGCCAAATAAAAATTGTTCAGCCAGTGTTTATCAGTTTTCCTGATACTATGAAGTGGTAGTCAATCAGGCTTGGTAGAACTATGAAAGGGCAATTATTGATCATCATGGTCTTAAACTCCTTACCAAAGCTTTATATGTCCAAGCATATATAATTCTTTATTTCATCCTACAATTGTCAATGCATAGCAAATGATTCATATATTCTTGTAGGCTTTTTTCGGTACAGTAGTTGCATCTCCCTATGTAGTAGGCCTAATCGAGTAATGTCCACTGCTTTAGTGGAATGTTTAATTTGCCCATTCTCGATGACCGGACAGAAATAATTATTTGGAAATAAACAAAAGATACAGATTAAAACTACGTATTCTATCCATTTTTTCTTACCGTTCATTTCACGCTACGGTAAAAAATTGTTCTCGAAACAAGCGTCTACATCGTCAAGTTGTTAATGGTCAATGTTGATTGGTATGATACCAAAACTTCAATTGGTCTCTTACGATATTCAGATTTTTTACTCATACTTGCAAACTAATGTACTGAGCAAATACTTATTTTATAGGCTCCTGCTTGATAGAGTGGCACCTACTTAGGCACTACAATCATAGTAAATCTGGGAAGGTTTAGCCAGTTAATAACACAATGATCGACAAGACATAGTTTACATAATAAAAGATTCTATGCTA